CCTCCCTATTGCATAATGAGTTGGCATGGCCAACTCATTATGCAATAGGGAGGGCACACCTCACCTGTCCCCTCCATTGGTCCCATATTTTGGGTCCCAGTAACAGCGCTCTTTATTTAATTTCGCTATACTTGCGGTTGAGTGTAGATACTGGAGCTTGGATCTTGCATAATGAGTTGGCATGGCCAACTCATTATGCAATAGGGAGGGCACACCTCACCTGTCCCCTCCATTGGTCCCATATTTTGGGTCCCAGTAACAGCGCTCTTTATTTAATTTCGCTATACTTGCGGTTGAGTGTAGATACTGGAGCTTGGATCCGAATGTAGCCTAGTAAACTCAATAAATAATAATAATGAATTACAAGAAACCCCCTTATTTTATGCCTGTTTTCAAAAAAAAATCCCCCTTCATCCAATAAGTTTGACAAAAAAGTCATCTTTAGCAATTAACTAAACAATTAGTTGTTGTTTGATAATAAATAGTTGAAAGGGAATATTTGAAGTTAATGCCTAACTTAGTAAACCCTTTGTAGGCGTCAAAAATTACCTATAGGTCCCCGCACACGGCTCGAGACAGAGAGAAGACGATGAACGTCGCTATCCGAGTCACAGAAGCTTAATCGACATTGACGAGTACATGAAGTGAGTCAACGAACCATGCGAAGCAACGGAACTTCGGAATAACAGGAACAAAAGCTGATCGGGAACCCCGTGTCATTTACGAAAAACGGGACACCCCTCGTGTCTCATTTATTCCACACATTATTCAATCATCGGAGCTTATAAATTTCCTCGCCGGCTTTCCAACGCACTTTGAATCACTCAAATCCGAATTCGGATGAAGAAGTTACAACGGAAATGGACAAGCGCGCAAAACGGACTGTCTCAGCCTAAGCTAAGACACCCCGAGGTGTCTCGGCCTCGCTGAGACGCCCGTGGGTGTCTTAGACCCTAACAATCTGATTTTTTTGGTTGTTACGCGGTTTTAACCGTCTGGATTCCCCGGAGCCTATAAATATAGCCTCAGGACCTTAATTTTTTCGGATCTAGAATTTTGGAGAATAGGCGAAGCCCTGCCGGACTGAAGATTGATCAAGTTCTTCAGCACAGGAGAGAAAGTTTCTTCAGATCTACATCGCCTGTGTTCGTTCCTTAGGATTATCCCGTTGCGGTAATCTTAAGAAGAGCAATTATCTCGCCGTTGTCGAGATAAGCGCTTCTGCTTCTAGATTCCTTCGCGGATCGACGAAGTCTTGGATCTGATCTAATTGTCAGGTGGTCCACATATATTGACGTCCCTGTCACCGGCCAAAAATCCACGCAAGCAAGAGACGACGAACGGATCTTGTGTTATTTTCGAGAGAGTTGTAATTCCTTTATTTCTTTCTTTTATTGATTATTTGAATTCTTTGTAAACGGCTAAAGTTATAATGAGTTCAGTGATAAAGGCAACTTTTAGCGAAAACACCCTTCACCGGAGGTTATAAATAATTTAATTTTGTCAGGATTTGATAGGCAATGTGAAATGTTAAGTTTTTTTGTGTTTGACAAATAAAGGGCTTAGTTACCATAAATCCTAAATTAATAATTGTAATACTCTTTTTTCAAATTTCATTTCTTTTAGGTGGGCTCGTTAACCCCTCTAAATAAGGGTTATCTAATTTTAAGAGTTGTAAATGATTTGTTAGCTCTTTGATTAAATTTACCTGTTTAGAGGGTTAAAGAAGAGTCAAACTCCATTGATCCGTTTCTTAACCTCTTGTCAAACGGAACCTTAAGTTTTGTTGTTTAGACAACTGCATAAAGTTAAACTTTAGCACTTGAGCATATACATGCACTTTGAATTGGCATGCTGTGGAAGTTGAAATCTAGTTATTTGCAAATTCACATATACCCTCAAGTAGCCATATTTGCATATTGACCCTTCGGAATCTAGGATATTCTTACCTTTTCTCTTAGTTGTTTTCTTTATGGAAAATATTTGTCTTCATTTAAAATTTAGCAATCTCAAAAGGAATCCAATGAGCTGTATATATTCGTTAAATTATGTAACAAGATGCGAAAACATATTCTAACGAGTGAGTTGTCCTTCGCAAAGTCGAGTGATAACATACTGGCCCCCTCATTTAGCATGAGAAAATTTTCTCTCTTCACCAAAGTTATGCTAAGAAATGCTTCTAGTATGTTCATAATCTCATCTTAGTTGTTCAGCTAAAAATTTATCCCTTCAGCAATTAAAATTTGATGACATCAAGTTGCGGGGTGTTTTTAACTCTGGGGAAAATGGTGGCAATGAGCAGATACTTTGACCATGGGGTTGACGTTGCAAATATATGATTGATTCGGGGAACTAGGTTAAAAAAGGTAAGGACAAATTTTCAAAACCAATCTATTTAGAATCTTAATTGCAAAAAACGATCTATTTGTAACTTAATTATCAAAATCAACCAAGTTTCAGTCAACCGGTTAAAACTGGGTAGATTTTGATAAAAACTAGCTGTAACTGGATCGATTTTGATAAAAAAAAGTTTCGTAAATTATTTCACTAAAATCTACTCAGTTTTAACTGGTTGAAACTGTGCTGATTTTGATAATTAAATTCGAAAATGATCGATTTTTACAATTAAGTTTCTAAAAGGTTTAGTTTTAAAAATACGATATCGGAGGTTACGGGATTCCGATTGGGTCGATGAACTCGAGGTTTTAGGATCAGGGCTTTACAGTTCAAATCGCGGTGGAAATCACCGCCTTTAGAGAAGATGACGGTACGATGCTTCGCCAATTCTTTCCTCCTATCCTACACCCACCACCCCCACGAGCAACCTCTCTCCTCGCCCAAATCCCCTTCACATCCACCGCCGACCCAAAATGGTCGCCATCGTATTCATCCCCCTACTCCTTCGTCCAAATCCTCTCCTCCGCCGCCAAATCCTTCTCTCTCTCAACTGGACAACAAACCCATTCCTCCATCTTGAAGCTCGGTCTCATCTCCAATGTCTTCATCAGCACTGCCCTCCTCGATCTATATTCGAAATGCTGCAGATTCTCCGAGGCCCAGAAACTGTTCGATGAAATGCCTCAACGAAACTCAGTCACTTGGAACGCCCTCATTTACTCCCATTCCCAGTCCCCGAATCCAACCCACGCCTTGAAATCATTCAAGGAGATGATCTTACTTGGGTTTTCTCTGACCCCTTTCAGCATCTCAAGCGTTCTCGTTGCGTCCTCGCATATTGGGGATTTGAGAACTGGGGAAATGGTTCATTGTGTTGGGGTTAAGCATGGGGTTTGCTCTAATTTGGTTGTGGGTACTTCGTTGGTTGACGTGTACTCTAGATGTTGCGATGTTTGCAGTGCGAGGAAAGTGTTTGATGGAATGGGTGAGAGAAATGTGATCACTTGGACTTCGCTGGTTACTGGTTACGCATTGGATCAAAGACCACAGGAAGCCATGAGCTTGTTTAGAGAGATGAAGATCCAAGGAGTTCAAATGAACAGAGTAACTTATAATAGCCTACTCACTTCGTTCACTGTGTTTGAAGATCTCGGTCATGGCAAACAAGTGCATTGCCTCGTGATCAAAGAAGGCCTTGATTCAGATCCTTTTATATCGGTCACGTTGGTGACAATGTACTCAAAATGTGGTAGCTTGGAGGACTTTGTTAATTTGTATCCTGATATTTTGATCCATGACCAAGTTTCTTGCAATTCAATAATAGCAGGATTTTCCCACCTGGGGAATGACACTGAAGTGCTGAGGAGGTTCTTGCACATGCGAAGAGAGTCCATGGAAGTGGACTTCTTCACATTCGCAAGCGTGCTCAGAGCTATCGGGGTCTTTTCATCTCTCCAAGATGGCAAGCAAACTCATGCTCTAATTCTAAAATCTGGACACATGTCAAATGTTTGCGTCCAAAATGGGCTTGTTTCAATGTATGCAAGGTGTGGCGTGATCGATGACTCTGAGAAAGTTTTCTCTTCAATGGAAGAGCCAAATATCGTATCGTGGAATTCTCTTCTGTCTGGATGCGCTCAGCACGGGTATTGCATAGAGGCATTACGATTGTTTGAACAGATGAGAACGATTAGAATCAAACCCAATAGTACCACTTTTCTATCGGTTCTCTCTGCCTGCAGCCATGCTGGGCTTGTAGACAAAGGGCTCGAATATTTCAACTTGATGAGGCAATGTGACTCTTCAATAGTGGCAAGACTTGAGCATTACACTTGTATGGTCGACCTCCTGGGTAGAGCAGGTTATCTGGATGAAGCTGAGGCTTTTATAAACACAATTCCCATGAAGCCAGATTTGAAGGTGTATAGAGCTCTGTTGAGTGCTTGTAAAGTTCATGGAAATTTGGAGATGGCAAAGAGAGCGGCGAGGCGTGCATTTGAGATTTGCCCGAGTGATCCCTCGGCGTTTGTGTTGCTATCGAGTGTGTTAGCAGGGGATGAGTGCTGGGAGAGTGCGTGTGGATTGCGAGGTTTGATGGCAGGAAAAGGAGTGAAGAAGGAGCCAGCATGGAGTTTGGTTGATGAAAGGGTTTCTGTTATGTAAATGCCAAAGAAGTGCTTTTTGAAGAGGAAATGAAAGAAAGATTTTGATGGTGAGTTTATATCTTGAATTTTGAGTTTCCCTCATATGGATGAACCTTTCTAACTTTGTTGTTATCTTTCTTGGCTGTGATAGGTTTCAACATTGACTTAGATAAAGAATTTGTTGTAGATATAATTCAATCTCAGATTAACAACAGATATTGTGATTTTGGTAAATAATGCACATATGAGTATGAGTGGGTGAAAAGAAAATATTTCAACAATATAAGACCAGCAAAATACTTATGAAAAATTCATTGTGAGCTTTCATGATCTCCGTATTATTTGTGTATAGTCTCAGGCTCGCTCAAAACGTCATTATATATACACACACACACACACACACACACACATAATAATTATAAGGGAATAATTTTTGTTTATAAATTTAAATACAATTTGAAAAGTAAAGTTTTTAGTAGAATAAATATACTTTGATATTCGATAATATTCATGAATATTTAACAAATTTCGAGTATTCGAGTTTGAATTCGATAATATTAAACAAATACAAATACGAACATTATTCGATTCGATTGTTTACCACCCCTAAATAAAATGTTAAAAAATTTTTTTTCACAGAAATATCGCGGCATCGCGCAGGTCAAATTTGCTACCAAGTTGTTATAAATGTTAGGGACGTTTGTTGTGATCTCCGACCACCGTAATTTCAACTATCGAAATGTTTCTTACTTCTTTTAACCAGTGAAAATTAACATATTAAATTTGGACAAAATCTGGGTTAATTTGCACGCTGAGCTTGACACCCTGAGGCAATGTTTGTTGGAGTGGCCGATCTTGGTTATAATGGACCTTGCTCCCTTATATGGGATAGAACTGGAAATTTCACATAGAAAGCCAAAACCCTAACACTAAAAATCACATTTTCTCTTCTGCGTGGCAGGGAGAGAAACAGCAGCTTCTTCTTTCACACCTTCAGCCATGGTAAGGATCTGTTATTTTTTAATTTCCAAATTTATTACAATTTATGCGAATCGAAGTATATATTAAGATTTACAGTGAATAATTCCTTTTCCCCCCAAATGTATTACAAATTTATACAGGTTTGATGACCTCAACCAGCACCGCGCTTCTAAATTTTTGAATTGGTAGCACTATAGGTTTCTTAGCCATGTGATACTAATACTATGCTTGCATTCTTTATATATATGCTTCGATGTAAAGCTGGGAGCATGATAGGTTAGCATTTTCATCTTAGTTCTATTAGGTGCGATTACAAAAGTGTCTTTGTCCCCAGTTTTTGGGATTGGCGACATGAATCATATTCTTCCATTCAGCTCTATTTTAAGTCGTCCCTACGTTAAACGAACTGTTGTCATATCTTTTTTTCGTGGCGTTGATGAAGTTTCCCAATCTTTGTAATGGACCTTTAGTATTCTCTGTTAGTTTTGCTTGAGCCAAGCTGTTTGATGTGGTGATATGCAGTCATAAACTTGGTAATTTGGAAACATTGTTCTTGGCTTTGCCCTATTATTTATAGTAATCCTGTCATTGACCTGAAGAGGCTTGGTTGATGAGGATGGACATTGTATCCGGTTTGTACTGTGTTCTTTTTTTTTTGAAGGCTAGGTTTGACTGAAGGATCTCTAAGAGAAAGCTCCTGACTGTATTTAAAGTAATTAATCTTCTTATCAATGGGTTATCATTTAAATGTGTCCTCTCTTTTTGGATGAATATGATTTAGACTGGACCATGTGCGGTTGAATTTGGAAAGTAATGCATCTACTGCAATTTGCATCTAATGGACTGACCTTAAGCCAAGGTATACTGGAATATCTGTGGTCTACCTTTCTCTTGAGATCAATTAACATTTTTTTTGCATGTTGTTGATCCTTGCTTTATAACATATATATTTTGCAAAATGATTTCAGTAGCACGACGAGCATCCGTCATTTGTTTTCTTCAAATTGTGTTAATCCAAGATGAATAGTTAATAAAAACGCGCGAAGCATTTTACCTATGTCACTTAACATATTCTTATTCTGCATGTTATACTAGTCACTATCTACTAATTATTTTTCAGATAGAACCTGGATGCCCTAGTCAAATAATGTTAAGAGTTTTTAAGTTCTGTAATTGTTACAGCTTCTTATGATATCATGCACAAGAAATGTATGTAGATGAAGCCTTATGTATGTAGCACTACAAGAAAAAAAAGTAATTCCCAACATTTATTTCCCAAGGCTTTAATAAAATGCTGGAATGTGGCTAACAATTTTCAAGGAAATGCTGGGACTTTCTCCTATTTTGCAAGCCCATTAAAGGCCAACAGTAACCCCGTACATTCAATAGCTTCACTACCCCTCAGCTCAAATTCAAGTCCCAAATCCCAATCTCAAGCTCTCCGATCGATCGCCTAATTTTGACAGCAAAATCTCTCCGATCGACTGTCGTCCTCTCCCATCTCAATCTCAATCGCAAACCTCTCTGATCTCGCCAACCTCTTCGAATGATTATCATCAACAATGAAACCCTAGACCCCAACCTTGACCTCTGAAGTTCCCTTGACCTCGTCATCGATGTCAACCTCGGCCTCATCGTCTCCTACTCGATCCACCGTCAACAATGTCCAGCCAATCTTAGCCCTTCATCGGCTCCTCAAACCCTAAGCCAATGGTTAGTATTCTAGTTTTATGAATTGAATTTCCAATTTTGCAAATAAAGTTGGAAATTAGCTTGCGGATTGAGATTTTCTCAAATTTTTGTGATTTTTTGTGATTTTTTTGGTGTTCAGTTATATATTTGTTAAGCTATGTATGATTGGATCTAGTGATGTTAGTAATTAAATGTTTGTTGACTGAATTGCTTAAGAATTCGTAGATCTAGTAATAATCTCATTGATCGTTTATCTGTTCATGGAAATTACACTGGACATTTTCTTTTTGAAGTATCTGTTTTTTGTATTTTGTGATACTAGTATTAATAGTGTTATTTGATTTGCATTTCCTTTACTCTCGAATCAAATTCTTGAACTGCCTTGTTGTTATTATTATCCAGAGTATTTCAAAGCATGGTAATGTGGCTTAATTGGTGGATTTATTATTTTAGCAGAACTGCATGTTCTGTACATTGTATATCGAGCTGAGATGAAAGTTTAACTTTGATGATTCATATCAAAATTTAAACATCAATATGCATTGAACTTTAGATAGCCTAGAAGGAGTTTGAGTAGAAAAAACTATGATTGCATGACGCGGTCATTGGAAGGATTATTGAGCCAAAGATGGAAAAGAACTATGAGCAGAGTGTATTTTGTTCCCACTTGTGTGTCTTTGGTGCTAATGATTTGTAAATCAGCTAGTCTCTAGTTATTGAGTAATGAGGCTGTAGATGTTAATGTGGCTTAGGATTTTTTTTGGCAGACATTTCATTCGTGCATTTAGGACGGGTTTGTTTTAACTTGCGCTGGAAATTGACCCATCATTAAAAGGTCTTTTAACTTTGAAAAATGACAATGCACAAGCTATCATCTGTAAGAATTCTCCTAAATCATTGTGCATGCTGCCAATGGAGACGAAAGGCTTTGTGATTAGCTCATAACTCGGGAGTAATCATTGCTTCAGCAAATAAATCTGTGTTGTAATCTTAAATTTTAAGGAAATGGCTTAATCCCAGTTCTTTTCATTTGGTCAGCGAACTTTCACAGGCTTTAATCTTTGGCTTTTAAATAAATGGTTATGATTTGAATGTTCAAGTGAAAAGGATTCATTTAGTTAGAGCTGAAATATTTCTCACCTCTATGATGTATTTAGAGACATATATTAAACATTTTGTGTCTGCTTACATATCTATGATCTCATAAATACACGATATAATAATTTAATAGTAAATGTTGACTTTCTATTAATAAGTATTAGGTACATGGCTTGAATGAGTATTATTTACATGTTTTTTTTGGTTAATCGAATGTTTGTGCATCTTGTTTAAAATTTAGTGGAGTTTTTGATGTAGTGCTTGCTTATGGAATAGTTTGTTGTTGATCAGTTACAAGATGATAAATTATGAAATCTTACTTTTTAAATATTTAGGTACAATTTTCATATTTTGTCATCATTCTGCATGGATAGATCTTGGATTGATAGACCAGTTAAAAGTAAAGAATTCGTGGATGGTTTTGCTCGTTTCTTGGACTTAGCTTTTGAAAAATCAACATGGGAGGAAAAAATTTGTTGTCCATGCAAGGGTTGCTGTAATCGGAATTATAAAGATAAGAAGAATGTGATACAAGATGTTTTCAAGAAGGGTTTCTTGCAGGTTTATGGGCGATGGGTGTTCCATGGGGAACACATGATAGAAGATCATAATGATATTCCTTATTCTTCAGATATGAATTGTGGAGAGGCCAAATATCAAGAAAGACTAGCTCAGTCATAGAGAGGTGGGATCAGGTACTTGGGAAGTAGTAACTCAAGTACTCATTAGGGCAAAAACATGGTAGAATTCAAATTTTTGACATAACAACTATTCTTTTGTGCAGCTAAAATCTTCTAAGGGTAAGGATGCAGAGGTATTTTCCTATTATGCAAATCCCAATACATTTATACTTAAATTTAGATGTATGCCATAGAATCTGAAATAAGTGAAAACATATTATATGTTCATCTATCTAGCTACCATGTTATATTACCACATGCTGATGCTTAGCAACTCTTACAGGATATGGATAAAATACAAGAAAAAATCGGGACTCGAACCTTATCAGAGGACACTCTTGAAGTGGAAACCCTCGTGGACTTTGAGTTTAGAGGAGAAGACAGTATTGGACATAGCAGGGGCCATGGGTTTGGATGCCCACCTTCAAAATTGAAAGGAGTAAGAGGAAAATTGCAAAAAAAGGTCGTGGTTGGTCTCAATCTGTTGACGTGTCAAATGACTTAATGAAGATGCAAGATACAATTTTACAAATGAATAACAATTATCAACAACAAATGGCGTAAATGCAAGCTGTTCATCAACAACAAATGGCCCAAGTGCAAGTTGGGTGTCAACAAGAAATGAGACAAATGAAATCACAAATGAAGCAAATGCAAAATCAAATGGAGTTTTGGACAAGAATATGGACTAATAAGGTTGAGAACTCCAATATTAGTAACAATGATATTTTTGGAAATAAACAGGTACCCTACTTAATCTATTCAATTTAAGCTTATGTTATCATTTCTGAAGTAGATTTTGATTTTTCTCTAGGAAAGACTTGAGCCTATCATTTAGATTGAAAACTGAAAGTGGGTTATATTAGGTGTTGATTTGTTAGGCAACTATTATGGAGCATTTATCAACAGTTTAACTAATGAGTTTTAATATTTTATTTTCTGTATTAATAGGTTCCGAGCATCTCTAGTGGACATGGAGATTATCAACCCGATTTTGGGCACTGACATCTACAAGCTGGTCAGTTTTTTATATGTTTGCAGCTGTGAACCTAGGATTCAGAATTATATCTAGTTCCTATTGTAGCTTGAAGTCATTTATCTTAGTTGATTGTACTCTGAGACTACAGTATGTATATTCACAAGTGAAGGATGAAATAATTTGCATTTTGTTTTTTTGTGATGTAGGAAAAGCTAGCAGGGCATTTTTCACCTCAAGATATGGGCACATATGTGATTGTTTTGTGACAAGTTACTAATGGTTGGGACCATCTCATTTTTCATCCTAAATATCTTAATAAATCTTGCATTGCAAATAGACTCTAGCCTGGTTCCTTTTCTTTGTTATGGTGGTATTTGATGCTAGATGATCTTTTAGGTGGTCGGTCTAGGGTCCCAAAATTCATATCGTAGTTACATGAAACTGTGAGCATTTAGGATTTGTTGAAGTTGCTTGTTTTACTATAATTGCTAAGTGCAGTTGCAACTTGTAATAACAATTTGGAGTCCAATATAGTCAACAAAGTGAATTTAGATACGAGTCGTAGTTACAACCTTTTTGAGTTGAAATGCGGTGTTTAGATTATATATACTCTTGCCAGCATGCCTAGTTTTAAAAACACTTGGATAGTAGGCTATCTTTTCGGTGGATTTACAATTTATAATTCTATTTATGTTTGATTTTGCAGGTAGAAAAGTTAAAGAGAAGGTAGCACAGGGAGGAGCAAAGAGCTCACGTGAGGGATGAGAGCAAAAAATGTGATGAGTTGTTCAATGAATTCTATAAGGCTACGTTTGGGAACTTGGATTTGGGCCTGGATTTGAAATCCAGGGCAGCCCAAATCCAAATATCTTGTTTGGATTTCAAATTTGGTTTAGATTTTAAATCAGATGATTTTGTAGAGGTAGATTTTGAAGCGCAATATTATGGATTTGAAATCCCACCCTGACCCTCGTGATTCATCAAATCCAATCCCCTTTATCTCATCGATCTCTGTCTCCTAAAAATCCCGATTCTCTCTCTCTCTCTCTCATAACCCTAGACTAAGTCGATCGCCACCTCCAGCCAACGCCTGGCCTCCGACTCCGATCCCTCTTCTCCGGCGACCTAGCCTCCCTCTTTCCTTTGTCTCCAGCCGTTCTCCACCCCGAACCATCGCCTAGAACTTTCCGCAAAAATCCCTAACCTGAGAGGTTTCCCCTTCACTGAGATCTTCATCTCTAGCGATCCGACGGCGACGGAGGCAGAGATTCAAGCAGAGAGTTCTGTAAGCATCACTTTGCCTACTCTCAAGATTAATTTCCCCTCTCTCACCTCTTTTTGATCTTTCATCAACCTTCAGTTACAACTACGATGAATTCACTTCGAAGAATTGACCCAAAATTTTTGGAAACGCGCCCCAATTTATGGTGCAGATTTGGCAGTTCTGCTCGCTATGAGGGGTTCAATTACTAGGGATTGGCTTGCGAAGCTGTGGACTGAAGAAAGGAAGAAGCTTTCCATGACAGAGAAGAGGAGAGAGAGGATTGTTAAGCAACCTCCAGATAGTCAAAATCTTGGCGGGTTATTATCCCCTAATTCACGTGAGGAGGTAAGAACTAGGGTTTGGTGAACTTTAAATTTTTGGATAATGTATTTGTTTGTTATGCATAGAGGTAAATTTTGTTGGGTTTGTGAGCTTCTGTATCGAAATGTAATGTATTATATACATGTATATATGGGGCTGTAGATTCCAGACTATATGAATTCAAGAGGCTTCAGCCGCTGACATTACTCCCAAAATGAATTGGTAATAGTTCAAGGAGTACACTCCTTAACCCCAGAGTGTACTCCTTATACATTCTACCAAATATATGCAACATTAACAACATAGTATTACCAACCACAAAATACACAAAAAAGAAATAAACGTAAACATCCATCTTTGATTTCCTTAATATATCAATAGGGCAATCACTTCCTCCCTGCATTGTCCCTCCATGTTGCCTTGTATATATAGCAGCATGGCCAGCAACATCAGCTTCATCTCCAGCTTCAAGTTTCCCTAACCAATAGGAGGCAAAATGAGTGTTTTCCTTTCCTCCAAAGTTGCAGAGGGTGACTACTTTTGTGCATGAAAATTTTGTTATTTCTCCCCAAACACTCCAAGCAAAAGATTATAAATTCCAAGCCATGTATAATAACCTATGGATTTGAAATTCTTGACGGGATTCTAAATCCTATAATATTAAGATTTGAACCAAACAGCCTTAAGGATCTGAGGATAACAAATCATAAAGATACTTTCTGTTAAAGGGACAAAAGTTGTTAGTTATTGTCAGTGACTGTAACTAACATTAGGTTTGAGTTTCTCATAATATTATGGTCATGTTGTATGATTGTGTTATATTCTATGTCTTGAGTATTTAAAGCCTTCTGTTACCAAATCTTATTATTCATAGATGCTGGTCGGTCATTGATGTTTCCCAAAAAAATTACATGAGAGCCGGTATGTGATAATGGATGCGTGCTACCCACAATCTGTATGTACTAGTCTCTTCCATTTGGGATACTGAAGTTTTTGATATTTCTATATTTTGTATTACGAAGAGTGGCTTCTCAATTTCAATCTCATGGTTTTTGGGAATGTTGTTAACTCTTCCAGCCTGTGGGTTTTATTCACGAGCGAAGCAATCTCATCTTTAGGCAGATTTGTTACTACTCTCCATTTAAGCATAAGAATGTAATGATGTTGGGCATTATATTTTGTTTATTTTGTGGTGCGATGCGTTTCCTTACTTATCTGCATTTCATGAGCACATTTGCTAATTTTCTTTTGCTCCATGGATTGGAAAGTACTCTCCAAATATTAGCTGACTATTTGACCTATTGCTATTGTCTATGCCTCTTTTTCATTAAAATGGGATTAGTTATGAAGCACAAGGCTTAGTAGATATTGATAGACTTGCAAGGTGTCAACCTGACATCAACCAGTCCTCTCAAGTTTCTGCCAAGTTCTCAGGCATGGAAACTATTGACAGAAACTGAGAAGGTATTTTGGCAGACAGAAAGACAACCCACTTTGATGGTGATGTTGTTTCAGCTAGTTTAAGTTTGCACAATTAGAGAGCAAGACTTTGTAATTTTCTAAGACCAAGACTCTAGAAGGAGGTAATGACACTTGCTGTATGTTATTACATTATTAGAAGCACAAAGAAGCCATAGAACCAACAAAAATTTCCATTTTATATTATTGCTTTTCACTTATATGACATAAGTAGATTCAAGAAGGAACCTTAAGCTGAACATTCATCAGCAACCATTTTGTGGGTAGAAGTGTAAGCATTTCATCTTTATCATTAACTATCCAACGTCTCACTGAATAAAATGATATATCATGTTGATTATGTTTATTTTACTAAGAATAATCATGTCTTGAAGAACCTTTGACTTAAAATATGACATCGTACTTTGACTTAAATCTGTTATTGTTAACTTCTTTCTGAGTATGATTCTATGACTTAAAATATGACATCGTACTTTGACTTAAATCTGTTATTGTTAACTTCTTTCTGAGTATGATTCTACAAAAATATTTTAGTTTCTCTGCTGTTATTGTTAACTTCTTTCTGAGTATGATTCTACAAAAATATTTTAGTTTCTCTGCAAATATAAGAGGACAACAAAGAAATATTCATGTCATGGTCTATAATCTCCCTCCTTTCCCACCACCTTCCCCTCCCCCCTCCTCTCTGAGCTTTTATTTTCCAAGCAATAGTGGATAAATGCTTGACGACTGACAATATTAACACTTGGCCATCTTGTTTTCACATGTGATATCCTATTATCTGTATAAGCATTTTGCAATAAACTAATGGATTATTGTTTGAATGTGTAGTCTCTGTTGTATTTGGGGCATATTAGTGTTTTATGGCTACATCATAGGATCTTCTTTGCAAAATCCTCTTTCATCACCTTTTTATTACCGCTAAGCACATGATACTGGGATTGAGGGTTTGATGATACATGTCGAGAAGGGGGAAATTCATGTTATAAACTTTCCAATTGATTAATATGTGTATAGGCATTTTGTGTATAATTATATATTTCACATTCTAGTTATTGCATATTGGATCTTGTTTGGCAGATAAAACTTTCTCATGTGAGTTGTATATTTGTTTTTAATATTTATTCAGATTCAGATGATATTCCTAGGTTTGGTCAAAGTTGTAAGTGAAATTTTGTCTTTGGTTTGCAGGCGTGGAAGAAGATTACAAGCGATTTCGTTTGTTGTATAGAAGCGTGAGACTGTGATTCAAGGGTCATCCTCATTTTTTCCTTCTTCAGAAATTTCTTGTATTCTTTTTTCTTTTTTGGGCACTCCTTTAATTTCTATAGAAATTCAAGCTTGGTATATCAAAGACCAAATTGACTATGTAATTATCAACTGTACCTGCTCTGTTTATATAGGATGATGTTTGAGCATGGCTTATGGGTTGAAATCAAGATGTAGATAGCTACATTTTTAATGCACAACATGTGGAATTATTACTTATTTGCTCTGATATCAACTTATTCTCACTTTGAATATGTGTGAAATATGAAACAAGCCTCAAGTGTTTTCCAGCCTGGATATCTGTGAAATATGTAATGGTGATCTGTTATTTAGATGTTTATTTTGTAAGATACCTGATATGTTTGTAGAGTTTTCTTCATTTTTATTTTGCTAAAAGTCTCGCAAGTTATGGTGGATAATGAATTTGAAAACTTAGCAAATGTAGTTATCATCGCCAAAATTAGCTAAATTTGTGTTTTTTGGTTACTATTTTACACATCTCCATTGCATTTGATGTAAACAAGACGGGTTAAGAGAATAAGTTTTCTTAAAACATCAATTTTAAATTTAAATTCATGTATAATAAAGTATCCAAACACTAGATTTTGAAATCAAAGATTTTAAATCCTTTCATTTAATAAATTAAGATATCCAAACGAAAGATTTCTTAAATCATGGATTTCAAATTCTAAATTTTAAAGTTAGATTTTGTAAAGGCATATGATATGCTAAACTGGGACTTTATCTTGGAGGTTATGAAGGCTAAAAATTTTGGAGCTAAATGGCTTAACTGGGTTAATTTGTGTTTAAAAGGAGGTATGTCTGCCATTAACATAAATGGTAAAGTTGGTTCTTGGATTATGTCCAAAAGAGGGGTTCGTCAAGGCGACCCTTTATCTCCTCTTCTCTTTGTTTTGGCTGCTGACTCCTTTACTAGGATGATGAACTTGGCAGTTGAGTCTTTCCTTATTGAAGGTTTAGGTCCTAACAATATGACTCATAAAATTTGTTGTTTACAATATGCTGCTGATACATTGATTTTTTGTAAAAACAATAAAGAGCAGCTGACTGTTTTGAAGATGATCTTATATTGTTTTGAACTTGCTTCTGGATTAAAAATAAGCTTTAATAAGAGTATTCTTATTGCTCTTGAGGATAATGAAACTTTGCAACAGAATTTGGCTATTATGTTGAATTGCAAAAGTGGGAGTTTCCCCATTACTTACCTTGGAATTCCTTTGAGACCTGGAAAATTAAAAAAAGAAGACTGGTCTCCTTTGATTGAGAAGATAGAAAGAAGGCTAGCAAAAGAAGACTGGTCTCCTTTGATTGAGAAGATAGAAAGAAGGCTAGCCTTGTGGAAAGGAAAGTCTTTATCAAGAGGGGGCAGACTTGTTTTAGTCAATTCTGTTCTTTCATCTATGCCAATTTTTTGGATGTCTTTCTTTGTTTTTCCTATGTGACTTATTGACAAAATTGATAAAATGAGAAGGAGATTCTTGTGGACTGGATCTCTTGATCATAAAGGCTCTTCTAATTTGGTCAAATGGGAGGAGGTTTGTAGACCTAAAAATTTTGGAGGTTTGGGAGTAATAAATTTAAGAGTTATGAACAAAGCTCTGTTGGGGAAATGGCTTTGGAAATGGTTTGATAATAAACTGGAACTTTGGAAGCAAATCAGTTTTTACAAGTATTTTGAGAGAAGAAATTGGACAGAATTTTTTTATTCTGGTAGGAATTTATTAACTCAGTTTTGGAAGAATTGTTTTGATAATGTTGAGAGTTTTTTATGCAGTTCTGTTGTGGAGGTGGGGAGGGGTAATCGAACTTTGTTTTGGCTTGACAAATGGGTAGGTTCTTCTACCCTTGCTTCTAAGTATCCTTCCCTTTTTAACATCACTTCTTCTCCTTTTGCCTCCATTAGCAGTTTGAGAAAGAAAGTGAATGATGAATGGATATGGAATATCCAGTTTAGAAGACAATTGACTGGAAATTTGGTTTTCCAATACTTCAAATTGTTGAATGATATTAGAGAGTTAATCTTTGATCAAAGGGAAGACAGGAGAATATGGTTTTGGGGAACTAAAGGCAGTTTCACAGTTAAATCATATTATCAGTTTCTTATGGATGGGGGTTTAAGATTTGATTGTGCAAATCTCTGGCAGCTTCCTGTCCCTTTAAAGGTGAAATTTCTTGTTTGGTTGGCATTAAGACAAGGTTTAAATACAAAAGATAATTTAGAGAAGAAGGGAATTCATCTGGATTTGATGTGCAGCTTATGTTCTAAAGAAGTGGAAAGTCATTTTCATTTGTTTGTGGAGTGTGAGTTTGTATTCTCTATTTGGAGATATATTCAATATAAATTGAAGATTGAAAAGGATTTTAGACTGAACTCCCTAAAAGAGATTTGGATTAATTGATTTATGGGAGAAGATGATAACAGTAAGGTGGAAAGACATGTTACTATCTGTTCTCTTATATGGTGTATTTGGCAGGAACGTAATGATAGAATCTTTTCTAACAAAAGGAAGAGATCCCTGGAGATTTTGAGCAAAATTTTGATATTTTCATCATTTTGGTTAGGTTCTAAACCTATAACTGCGCGAGCTGCTAGGCTTCAAGAGAGGAGAAGGAAAAGAGCTGCTGAAGGACATGTTGATGCTGGAGTTGCGAGTACAGTGCCTCAACTTGAATGATTCTTAACTCCAGATTCTTGAAGTTTCTTTGGTTTTTTTGGTTTTTGAGTTTTAAAACTCTGGTTAAAGATACAGTGATCTGCTATTTTGTTTTGGTAGTAGTTGATAGCTTCCTCTTTGCTTTGGGAAAGGATTATCCTATGTTGTGGAGCAGGAGCTCTTTTGATATGTAAGTTTTGTTGGAACTAGAGTACACACTCTTGGTTGGGGGTGTGTATTTGTTTGTAACAACCAAGTTTAAATATTAATTTAGCTGGCTGAATTACTGTTATGATTAACAGTAATTCATCCTTTTTCTCAAAAAAAAAAAAAATTCTAAATTTAAAATCCCTTGATTTTAAATGAACTTCTCAAATCCAAATCCAAGTTCCCAAACGTAGCCTAAGAATATTAGCTCGCTTTTGTATACATACGCCATTTCGTGTTTAGTTTGGAGAAACTGAAGATATTTGTATGGGGGCATGGAATTTGATAGGAATATCAGTTTGATTTTGTATCCATATCAGCACAATCTTCTTGGTAGTTTTTGCCAAGTATGACATTATTCACAGTACATCGGTCAAGGACATTGGTGGCCTACAATGCACAATGTTATACGGAGCATCGTTTTACTTTACGTAACAGGTAATCTATTTCATCTAAACCCTATTTTCCAAGAAAATCCCCCACCTGAACAAGTTTAGAAAAGAAAAAGGAAAAATGACACCCACGTACGTTTATGGTAGTTAATGAAACCATAATAGAATTGGTTCTCTTTAGACGACGTATTCATGCATGCAGAATTCTACGTTGACGACAGAATAAGATTTATATTAATATCGAAGAACCAACCTTTTTTGCTCTGTTTCCTTCCTTTCAACTCCAAAAGCGTGCAAAAATCTGAAGTGCAAACGTCTATCTAGATACAATCATTTATTCGTATATCCGAAGAACATTTGTTGAACTCTTTTACTGAGGGTTTTGTTGAAAAACAAGCTCTAGATGAAGGGTGTTTTTTGAAATGTTGAGTCCATAGAGGAAGCGCATGCACGAGGAAGCGAGGAATGTCATACAACCAGAATCTACGACTCATTGGTGGAACCTTCAACGACACTACACTAACGAAAAAAGTCATGGTAGATAACAACATTATTTATAAGTGCATCTCTCTACGCTTTTGAAATTAACCTTGGTATATGAGCTAACAACATTCACGAAAATGCTAGTATCGCAAGTGTGGACATTGGATCCCAACGTTCTTCTGCAAACGCTGGCTTTTGGTGTCAACATTTGCATCAAAAGCGTTGACAAAGCCGTGTCGGTACTATATTAACACCCCCTGTACAATTATGATACACAACTATTATGTCCCATACGAATATCTCAGTTCTCCCAACTAGACATCAAATTACACATTAGGCTAGGGGAAATGTACTTTGATCTTGTCTGATGCATCAAAAATCATTGTTAGTGGTGTTCATACCTAATAATTCTTCTCTTATTTGGCTTGTGGTGCAGCATATGCTACCATATTTTAGTTACATGCAACTGGTACGTTTTTGGATCAGTTGCAGTTGCTTGTTTCGCTGCCCTTTGATAACTACAGTTGAAGGCACTAACGCTCAACATTATGTTTATGATTGAAACCGGCAAATTATACAAAGAGTGGATGTTGAGCTCAATAAATTTGGAAAAGCCATTGATAAACAAGCTTATAGACAGCAGCCCATCATCCAAACCACCCTTTTCGTGTGGTAGTAAGACGTAAAATAAGACCCAGGCCCACTTTGTTTATTGGCTTACAGGCCCGTAGCTTCGAAGCCCAGCAAATTACAAAGAGGGTGGCTTCAACAAACAAGCTCTTTGTTTCTCTCGCTAGTCAAAGTCAGTAGGTATATAGTTAGTTCAACAAGCTCTTTTTTTTTTCTTTTTTCCAAATACGCCCAAGATACGTACAAAAAGATATCTCCGGGCTTTTGACCGTAACTCTGCGATGGACGCGTCAAAGCTGAGGTTGCCCCTTCTGTTTCTCATTAATTAGAAGCTTGTCTGTGTTTGGGGTGACACGCAATTTCGTCAACGTGGAATTAAATACATAAGAACATGTAAATTTTTACTACTCACTGTCACTGCACTCACTAAAGTGGAACATAAAATACTACAAACTCAAATAAGTAACCTTTTGATTCCAAATCTATAGTCGAAGCATATTTGATCACCTATTAAGCTAATATGAGATCAAACAAATCTTAATATACCACAATAAGTCTGCAGTCTCGGCTCCTGCTCATGTTGTATAGCCCAATTGTTAGGACAAACCCGGGACCTAATAGAGCAAGATCGCAACAATAGTAGAGCAAAAGTAGAGATAAAAAGTTGGACACACAGATTTACGTGGTTCGACACTTGATTGCCTACGTCCACGGGCAAGGATAGAAGAATCCACTATGAGGAGAAAACTCTGCAGTTACAATCTCTCTTTACAAGGAGATACTCTCTCTCTATTTTTTCTCTCTCACTCTTCTATAAGAGAAGTTGTTTCTGAGATGAGATTTT